CTGCATGTCTCCCACAGAGGACCAGGTTCAGAGGTGAAACAGATGCAGGCTCATCTCTGGGATCAGCCTCTTCAGTAAATGTTAAATGTTGCCCCCTGTTTTCTCTCACCAAGTTCTCTATTTGTTCCATCAGGCTTTGGCGATCATTGTTGGCAGTATTTCTTTGGTCTAAGTTTATTCTGAGGTTTCTTTGTCCACATTCTTGGACCAGTTGATTCACTGAGACACTTGTGTTCTCTGTGTTTTGAGTTGTGATGACTATTGCGTAGTTAAAGGCACATTGTCCAAAGAAACTCATAACAGATCTGACTTTGTGTCTGTCTGCCTCAGTGAAGTCTGATGGACTCACCAGAAGCAGCAGGACATTTGGTCCAGGTGGGCAGGAAGCCACAAACACCTTCATGTCATGTCGAGCTTTTTCCACTGACTGACTCAAGATGTCACCTGTTTTTATCAGCGTGAGAGGGTTTTTCCTCCACTCTCCATGGATAAGTTTAAACGATCTTTTGGTGTTTTGATTAGAAAAATCTTCTCTTCCAGCCATGAAGTTACAAATTTTTGTCTTCTCATGTTGACTTTTTCCAAGTATTACTATCCTCAGATCAGAAACTGAAAAACAAAGAGAGAAAAATATCATCACTAATTACTATAATTTTATTGAAGTTATCATCCTTTCACTTCTATTACAATTAGTTTGCCTTTTTAACCAGACATGGTTTTATGTTATCAGAAAAATATTTGTAAGAATGCAAAATACACATCTTTGTTAGTGTCCACTTTCCCAGATTGAAGGTTTGCCAGAACTGTTTTGACCAAAGACCTGAGCTATAGTAGGGAGTATCAAACAGTCTGAAATGTAGAGTTAATGTGACATTAATTTGGATAAGTGGCAGGAACAAACTGCTAACATGACCAGAAGCTAGCTGTAATGCACAGAGTTGTTTTCAAACCATCACAGAGCCAGTTCAGGTGGTAGAGATCCCATCGAGACAGTCTCAGACCATTGTTTTGGACAGGTCTTATCAAGAGGAGACCCCAGGGTTTTGACCAAAGTAAAGGCAACAGTTGTGGTGGTAGAGTTAACATAGGCTTTATAGTTTTTTACAGACTCAAGTAACTTTACACAATACCATCAATAAACAGTAATATCGTTAACTTCAGGTTCTGATGTTGGAAATATTTGGTATTTTCATCCAATGTTGGGGTTGGACTAGCCTGGTAAAAACCAGACCCTGTCCTTCACTTTGCTTCGTACGAGGATCTGGACTCTCAGCTATAGAGAAGTGATTCTTGTTGGAGGCGTGGCCTCTGATGAAGTTTAAAGTAATTGGATTGGTTGGCCACAACGTATGTGTGCGCCAGCTCCACTGTGAAGGAGGCTAAGCTAAGAAGCTAACCGGAAATCACGTGTGCTGTAAACAACCCTACTGAGAGGAGAAATATACCGAGCCAAACGAGACGACTGTAAATGAGAGCTGCTGCTTTGTCAGATAAATTTATTTTAATTTGAAGTCTTATCAACACGGACTGGCTTCATTCACTTCCTCCACTGCTGTATGCTAAAATAACTAGCAGACACTGCGCAGAAAATCAACGTAGTTCAAAACTCTGCCTTCTGCTTGCTGATTGGCCCAGGTAAAATAAACTACAAGCAGACACTGTGCAGAAAATTGGCGTTCTGTTCTCTGATTTGCCTGAATGAAATGCTCCCGAAGAAATCCTTGTCCATGGGAGAAATCCCAGACGGTGCAGTGAAGGAAACTAGAATCGAGTGGAACTGCGTAGGAAGGCAAGGCCCAGGCTAGGGTTGGACTGGATCAAAAAGTGGTTGAGTTCATCTCTTGTAACGTCTATGATTTAGCATGATAATCTGAGTATTTCCAGCTACATATATAAAATACTAATGTTAGTGCTGGTGAAGATTCTCAGTTGTCCAGGAAATGCTCCACAATCATCCCCAATCCAAAGAAGGCCACCATCAAAGAACTAAGTGACTACAGACCTGTGGCTCTGACATCTGTGGTGATGAAAACCTTTGAACGGTTGGTGTTGGTACACCTGAGGGAGGTCACAGGAGGCCTGTTGGATCCCCTGCAGTTTGCCTACAGGGCAAACAGGTCAGTGGATGATGCAGTCAACATGGGACTGCACTACACCCTGCAACATCTTGATCACCCAGGAACTAATGCAAGGATCCTGTTCATAGATTTCAGCTCTGTGTTCAACACCATCATCCCAGGAACCCTCTCCACCAAACTCTCCAAACTTACTGTATCTCCTGCCATCTGTCAGTGGATCACCAGCTTTCTGACGGGCAGGGAACAGCAAGTGAGGCTGGGAGAGGTGACCTCCAGTATCCACAGTGCCGGAGCCCCTCAAGGGTGTGTACTGTCACCACTGCTCTTCTCTCTCTACACCAACGACTGCACCTCCAGCGACCCTTCTGTTAAACTACTGAAGTATGCAGACGACACCACAGTCATTGGTCTCATGAAGGACGGGGATGAGTCTGCATACCGGGCGGAGGTTGAACAGCTGGTGCTCTGGTGTAAGGAACAGAACTTGGAGCTAAACACACGCAAAACAGTGGAGATGACAGTAGACTTCAGGAAACACCCCCAGAATAACTCCCTCTGATAATATCTGGCAATCCGGTGTCCATTGTGGAAAACTTTAAGTTTCTTGGAACCATCACATCCCAAGACCTGAAGCGGGAGACCAACATCAACTCCATCCTCAAGAAGGCCCAACAGAGGATCTAATTCCTGCAGAAACTAAGGAAGCTGGGTCTGCCACAGGACCTGCTGGTCCAGTTCTACAGAGCAGTCATAGAATCTGTCCTGTGCACAAACACCACAGTCTGGTTCAGAGCAGTCCTGCTAATGTTAGTAAAATATTTACTGCAGTGAAATGTGTTAATTTCAGAGTACGATTAAAGGTAAATCAACATGTTTATATTGTTTAGGTCTGAGCCCACCATCTTCTTCTTACTACACATGAAGAAAACTAGTTTTAACAAGAATATTTTTAAACATCAGAACATTACAGGAGCTGTTTGTCAGAATTCCATTATTTTTATTCTACATGTTTCTACCAGAAATAACTCACAGCTCTAACTGCTTTGTTTCGTGTCATTCCACAGAAGATTGATGAAAACCACACTTACCAGATGTCGATGTCATTTTGACCAAGGAAATTCCCAAACACAACCAGTTGTTAATTCCTGAAAGGAAGTAAATAAATAAATAAAATATGTTTCAATAAATAATTTCTTTCACAGTACTGGTTTGCTAAATTAGAGCACATAAGACCAGATAAAACGATCACATCTTAGTTTGCAGAACTTTCTGTTGGAAAGTTTTACTAGTTTAAATTAGATTTAAATAGAATACGTTTTGCTTCTAGTTTAGGTTGAAAATACAAATTAAAATGTACTGTCTGTCTTCTGCTTTATTTCTTTATTACTACTATGTCTCCACAAAAAGCTGAAGTGTTTTGAATAATAAAGTAGCTGTGTTACAGCATGTTCACAGATCTGTTGTACATTTTATATATTTTCTGTTACATTTAAAAATCAGATTACTTCACTCACCAAATGATTATTGCAGGATTATCCAGTTAAAGCAGACGATGTGTGCAGGCACCAAAGGACGGAACATGAAATTGTCTTTTTGTCGTCTAATTAAAAGTTAATCTGAGTTGAGTCGTACCCTGAGGCTCAGATCAGCCAGTTTTACTTGTTTAACTCAAACAAAGATGAGTTAACTTCTGATTGGTTCAGCAGGTCCACGTGACTTTTTAAAGTGAGTTACTCTTTAATTATCACCTCTGGAAGGTGTAATGTTTTTATCTACAGATCTGTGGACCAGCTGACAGTTTGTCTTTAAATGGTTTTAATGTGTCTGTTTTTATTTAACAGTGTTATTAGAACTAACTAACCCCAACCGTTATTTAGAAGTTGTTTCTGAAGCTGTTAAATAAAAACATGATCGTCAAACAAAAGTGTTTTAATAAATTGATGGTTTTTATTTTAAAACCTGATTTTTTTTTGGGTGTGTTTGACTCGTGGTCCTACCTGGATGTGTTTTAAATACAGCTCTCTCTCTCTGCGTGTTTATTTACCCCGTCTCTCTTTAGTTTGAATCCTGGGAGGTCGTTGGGTGTGTTTGATTTATGGCCCGGTCCCTCCTGGTTGTATTTTCTCATGGATCCAGCTGACTGCTCCCTCAGTGTGGGGAAAAATAATAAAATACCCTCCAACCTTCTCAGATCTGTTCTCTGTGGGCTTATGACGAATTCTGAAACACAATTTAGAAGAATTATTGGGCTGTTTAAAGTTGTTTATATAAAATAACTGCAGTCACTGTTAGTTTAGTTTTTAATAAACCTCCTTCAGGACTGGATTTATTAATCCTAGACTTTTTAAAGGATTGAATTAAAGCTTTCAAACTGGATCAGGAGGTTAATTAAAAAGGAAAGTGAAGCTTGTTTAAAGTGTCTGTGTGTAATAAAGCAGTGGATTAAATATAGTCATATTAATCTGTGGTTAATTAGTCGTCTGTCTTAAAGGTAAACTGGGGGAAATGAGGGCTCCGTGTGGGACTTGAACCTGTGACCTGTGGGTTCTGGTGGGTTCTGTGTGCCACCGCTCCAGCAGAACCAGACATGTGAAAGAGAGCTGTGGTTTTGACCGTGGACCCTGCTCGTGTTGTTAGAGCCGTGCTTTTGGGTGGAGGAGGTGTTGTTTCAGCGGCGCTGCGACCCGGAGCCGTCAGATGGAGCAGCTCATTGTTTGGATATTTGGACTGTGGAAGTCAGAGACACCAGATACGTCCCATAAATCACTGGGCTTTGGTCCGAAGTTAAAGTCCTCATCAGATGTTCAGACTGTAAAATCACACTCCAGTCCATCTCACAGGATTAGTGTTGTGTGACGCAGAGCTGCAGGAGGACACCTTAATAAACCATGTTTGTTTGTTTGTTTGTTTGTTTGTTTACAGGTCCTGCATCTTCTACAGAGCCTGCATGGACATCCCAAGAGGAACGGAGCTGCTGGTTTGGTACAACGACTCCTACACCTCCTTCTTCGGCATCCCGCTGCAGTGCATCGCTCAGGACGAAAACTGTAAGAACCCTCAGCTTTCATTGTTCAAACCTTTCATTTTAATATTTTTAATAAGTCTGCAGAGTTCCCATGTGTCCTTGAAATCCTTGAAAGTTTGTGAATTTGTAAAAAAATTTCAAGGTCCTGGAAAGTTTGTTAAAACGGCCAAAAATTACACTTGACCTTGAATGTTTTTTGGGGATTGAAGTTCTGTATTCACACGACTGATTTTCATCATCTGTAAAAAACAACCTCACATTTGTTGCGGTGGATAGCTCAGGATTACAGTAAACTGATGTGGCTTTCAACAAATAACCTGAGCCATAGTCAGTTCTATCCAATCAGAGCAGAGCAGGGCGGGTCGTTCTTCCTGAGCCCAGGTGAAGCAGCACAGCTCCTCCTCCCAAACTGAGCTGCTGACCCTCCAGGACATGATCACATGTCCATGTGTTGTAGACATGAATGTAAACATTTAATCCACCTTCTTCCATTGATTCTGACTCAACAACTTTCATTGAATCTACATGATATTAAACCTGTTTATTGCCGTTACATGTGGTTCTTTAATTTGAGGAAATTGGTACTGGAAAGTCCTTGAAAGGTCCTTGAATTTTCTGTTGACCGAGGTGTGTGAACCCTGAGTCTGTAAACAGGTGTTACCTACAAACTAACGTTAAGGTTTAACAGAGGCTGAACATTTATCACTTTAATACAACACGTTCACTTTAAATACAGAACTTTTTATAATCTGAATCTTTGACATCATTCATGGGCGGCTGTGGCAGAGTGGTTAGAGGAGTCCTGGAACCAGAAGGTCGCTGGTTTGATACCCGATCCAGCTGTCTCAGTCGTTGTGTCCTTGGACAAGACACTTCACCCCCCTTGTCAACTGATGGTGGTCAGAGGGTCCGGTGGTGCCGGTGCATGGCAACCCCGCCTCTGTCAGTGTGCCCCAGGAGAGCTGTGGCTACATTGTAGCTTACCACCATCTCTAGTTGTGTTTCCATTACAAATGTGTGTAAAACTTTGTTAACATTCTCTTAATGTGGAAAAAAAACAGTTTCACAACTGCAGTGTTTCCATTAAGTAATAAATGTTATTAAAGTCACGTGAATACGTTTGTTCTCATGATAAGTCATTACAAACATGGCAGCGATGGATGTAAACACATAGCATGTTGCTACCACGACACTAGCGCTCATCATCAGAGGAGACGTCGGCGTCTTTTATCGAGGCTTTCCAGAGACAAGTCCCTACTTGGGAGCGGCTACGTATGCTGTGTTTTTGGGAAATTGTAGTCGCTGAGTTTACTATTTTATACTACTTCTGTGATATTACTACTACTTCTACTTCCTGTTATCTTCTTCATCATCGTCTTTTTCACCAGTAGAAACAGACGGTTGTTGATCACGTGACTCCTGTGATGTGAAAAAAGTGAAAATGAGTTTAGTCAGTTACAGATCAGGAAGATGCTGCTTTTTTCTCTTTTCATAAAGGGTCTTTAGACAAAGTAAATTTTGAACAAACTGTAGTTTCTCTCATTTCAGAATCACAATAAAAACTAAAACACATCAATAAATTAATATTTAAACAATTATTATCAGCTCAGTTCTTTTCTCTCTGATGAACTTTTATCAAATCTATTTTAATAAAATCTTTCCTTTATTCAACCAAATAAAACCCACTGAACTCTCATTTACTGTCATTAGAAATCTGCTGCTCACATCATAAAACTCATCATTAAAACTTTTCTATCAACTCTAAAATCAATTAATCAATCAAACTTTAACTAGTTTGAGTTTATCAAGTGTTTCCTGAACCAAACGAGTCTCAAATCATGTTCGTTCAAATTCTCTTTAAGACTTTTCTTGTCTTTTATCCTGTTTGTTTATTTAGTTTCTTTGTCATTTTTCATTAATTTAGCTCCGTTTTCTTGTTTTGCTTTGTGTACCTCCTGCAGTTTTCTGCTGACTCAGCTCGTTTAGGGTCTTTTCATTCAAACGTGTTTTTCTGAACATCTCACAGAGGAGCAGCCTACAGGATGAAACATTATTTTTACATAAATATTGAGAAAGAAAAAGTCAAAGAGCCAGAGGAGCGCAGAAGAAGGGTTTAATCTGTGGAATCTAAACTGAAGTGAATTAAATTAGTGGTTTGTCTTCTTCAGAGTCGTGTTGAAACCAGATCAGGCTGATTGCAAATTACAGACGTTTTGGCCACAAGCTGCTTTTTATTACAGACTTTTACATGACATCGCTCATCAGGACAGGACTGTGGCAGCTTCTGCAAACATAATCACACACACACTGATCTGGTTTGTGTATCCCTGTGGGGACTGTGGATTGACTTCCATTCATTTTCTGGTTATTTTATATCCAAACCCTGACTTATTTACCCTAAAACTGACCTCACAGGTACCTACCTGACCCTAAAACTGACCTCACAGGTACCTACCTGACCCTAAACTAACCTCACAGGTACCTACCTGACCCTAAAACTAACCTCACAGGTACCTACCTGACCCTAAACTAACCTCACAGGTACCTACCTGACCCTAAAACTAACCTCACAGGTACCTACCTGACCCTAAAACTAACCTCACAGGTACCTGACCCTAAAACTAACCTCACAGGTACCTACCTGACCCTAAACTAACCTCACAGGTACCTACCTGACCATAAAACTAACCTCACAGGTACCTGACCATAAAACTAACCTCACAGGTACCTGACCATAAAACTAACCTCACAGGTACCTACCTGAGTCTAAAACTAACCTCACAGGTACCTACCTGAGTCTAAAGCTAACCTCACAGGTACCTACCTGAGTCTAAAACTAACCTCACAGGTACCTACCTGAGTCTAAAGCTAACCCCAAACGTAATTTCATTTGGACTCATGGGGACCACTGCCAGGCCCCCACAAGGCAGTTTTTTTTTTCAGGAAAATGGTTCCCACGATGTAGGAAAAACGTGTCCCCACACACATACACACAGCCTCAGTGTTACCATGGTAACA